CGAGGGGTACGGGGTGCCCCGCGCCATGCCAGCATCGCCTGTGCCGGGAGCTGAAGTTGTGTCAGGGGCTGAGGATGCTGCAGTGGCACCAGCGGTCCCTGGAGCCGAGGTTCCACCAGAGCTTGAGGTGCATCTTGCTGCATCAGCATCACCCGTGCCTGGAGCTGACAGCCCATCAGGAGCCAGTGTGCAACACACCACGCCAGCATCACCCAAACCCAGAGCTGATGTCCCACCAGAGGCCAAGCTGCTCCATGGTACACCAGCACCACTTGGCACACGAGCATCACCTGCACCCGAAGCCAAGACCCCATCACCGTCCACCGGATCAGTTTGCCATCAGCCCAGTGACAAGGAGACAGGCGAGGAGGTTGCTGTTACCCCCCCACAGCCCCCAGACACGACAGAGAGTGGTGAGGGGGTGCAGACAGAGTTCTAGCCTGGCCCCCCCAACCATGGACTGGCCCTGGTGATGCTGGGGGTTGGGATAGGGGGAATAGGACCTGTGGCACTGCCAGGGATGGAGGGCAGTGCTGTGGGAAAGGGAAGGGATGGGGAACACCGAGACCTTATTGTCTACAGGGGGGAGGGGTCCCTGCTGCTGTGCGGGGCTGGCCACAGCCAAGTGGTCCTACTGGGTCAGACTGGGGAGGCCTTGGCCCAGGGCACCCCCTGCACTCTGCTCTGTCCTTCTTCTGCCTTAGTTTCTTCTTTTCTACTGAGGAGATGCTTTATCTGCCTCCTCCCAGCACTGGGGCTGCCCAGGGGGGCTGGCACTAGCCCTGCAGTGGATGGGTGCACGGGATGCTCCCAGCTGCCCCCGGGATCGGCCACTGGTCCCAGTTGAGGGCTTCCTGGGAATGCCCACCAGCAGTCCACCCATGCTCAGGGGATGCCGGTAGGATGATGGAGAATGTGATGACAGGGATACAGCAGTGCTGGGTGGCTTGAACTGCTGCTGATGGGGTGAGAGCAGGGGCAGGTATGGGCTAATAGAACCCACACTGGGGTATCAGCACCCAGGCTGGGGTAACTGCAGCCAGCACCCATCCCTGGCCACTCTCACTCACCCCAGGCCCTTCTAGCAGCTCTTTAAGTTCAGACTAAAAGCTCAGCAGTTAAGGTGACTCTCACCCCATGTCTCCAGCTTTGCCTGGCGGGACTGGGCTGCCTGGATCTGGGCAGAGGACGGATCCCAGCTCTTGCCATCTGGAGCTTCCCAGTCCCGTGCACAGATGACAGCTCCAGCTCTTGGGCTTTGGCCAGTGCAGTGCTGGTGGAGCAGAGCTGGCATCTGCTGTGGGGAGGGGGACAGCCCCATGCAGAGGTGCTGGTGGGGTGGGCAGGTCTCGTGTGGGCATGGAGCAGGGATCAGCACCCTGACACCCGCCTGTATTTTAGGTGCTGCTGTTTCTGCCTCTGAAGGGGGGTGCCCAGCCTGAACCCCCCAAAGTGCCTTGCTTGGGGAACTTAAAACCTGTCTCTTCCAGAATATTTTATTAAGAAAGTTATACAAATGTTTAAAAATATGCTTATAATAATTAATAAAATGGAAAAGCTTTATTTAAAGCCAGAG